AGTCCATTGTAATCAAGCCTTGGACGCATATGACTTGCCTGTTGATAAAAAACGTCAAGAATCTCTTCAGAAGCCTTTTGATCGCAGTCTCCCAAATACCCTTTCCTAACGTCGAAGTCAGAGGATGTTTATCATCAGCGGCGTACGCGACACAAACCATCCCGAGCCAAAGCTCATTGCTCCAAGACAAAGGGGGCTGACTCTCACAGCAGCAGATGGGGATAGAAGGCGGTATTTGTTCAATGGGCTAACTGGAGTAGGTGCTGCCCCCAGAATATTTCGGTTGACTCTCGGTGCCATTTTGTATTGTTCAGATTCAAGATTAGCAAGACTAGAAGAGTGTCTTAATGATGATTCGATTGCAAGACTGCTGGATTTGAGTGAATTGATCACAGAGAAGGGAAAGGAAGCGTTATTTATACCAAGCATTCAATGCGATAAATCTCTACTTCATCCAATTCTGCCCTGCATTGATAGACACTTCTATGACATCAAAGTTGTTGATTATTTACCTCGTACTCGCGTTGTCGATGAAACGGAGATAGAGGGCACCAATCTACAAGTGAAAGATCCGACCGAACCAATCAGGTGCGATGGATTCCAGTTTCAGATACTACATCTGGAATTGGCTCATGGGCGGACTTAAAGATACTAACTCCAAAATTCCGTGAGTTGACAGATTTTGAGAAATATATATTGCCATATTTATCCAGGTAAGCTAAAGGCGTGAACTCTTTCATTAGGATAATCAATTGTCCATTGATGTTTTAGATATATCGCTGTTAGCGCTGAATTCGATAACCCTGAAGCTGCTTATTTAGACATGCGATTTCTTCTACTAATCCAAAATCAGTTTTCTTCCCCATCTCGCCACTAAGCTCTTAGTACCAAAGCATATTACTCATTCATATATGCTATGTAATGGACTCCAAGCATACGTGTCTATAACCTGCCCAAGCATATTACATACAGAGGCGGGATTAAGTAAGCTTTTTAACACTCACAAATCCCGATTCCAAAAACGGCAACACAATCGTTTATTAGCGCCGCTTGTGTTATACACACGATCCGCCGTTGAAAGAACCTCGGAACCCCATAGTTTACAGCAGAGATAGCTGAAAATGGAAGAAAACTCGCAGAGTAGCGCAACGATGTACGAAAATCAGCTCCATCTCGCATGTTGAATTCGCAAATACGCTCGGGGTCTAATAGAAATGTTTGCCCGATTCTCCTGTCCGCTTGAGTATGACATCAAGTATAAAGCCATGGCGCCATGTCCAACGTAACCATCCATCAACTCAAAAACTCAACACCTAACACTCAAAAGAATTTCATTTCCTCCATCATACCAGTTTATCCACCAGAAACAATGGCTACCAAGCAAAGACTCCTCCGCTTGACGCTCATGCAGTACAAGAATCCCAAGATCAGCGATGAGGAATTCCAAAAGCACTGGAGCGAGCACCACGCACCAATCGCCTCCAGCTGGCTCGCTCGCAACGGAATCGTGGGATACACACAGGTAAAAACAAATCTACCTCTCTCAAAATTAATCATATTATTCCTAGGAATTCATGCTAAAGTGAGACGAATCAACCGTCATGTAGTACCACACACCTCCCGAAACACGCAACCTAGCCACTGCCCTCGCCGAGACAGTGGGAGCTACTGTCGCGCCGTTTGACGGCTACGTCGAGTTCTTTGTGAACAACCCCGAGGATCTGTGGAAAGCTACTTCGGACCCGGAGTATCCTGTTAAGATGCACCCTGACGAGCAGTACATGTTTGATAGTAGCAAGATGCAGGTCACGATTGGGTGGGTCGAGGTGTATATCCAGGACGGAAAGGTGGTCAACATTGTTGATGGCAAGTCTGCATATGCCCAGTAGAGAGCACCATGTAAACGTATATATGTCTTTGATAAATCGACTATTAGCCTGGATGTTTGCTTCAACTTCATTCGCCTGTTTGTCTATCATAGTAGTTGTCAATGTGATGAAGAAGCGATAACCAGAAAAGCACAGCCGCTATTATACGGGTATATCAACCAGTAATTCATTCAATCTTCTACACCCACTCGACTCTTTTCTCTGAGATATCTACCCAGCACCAAAGCTTGCCCAATCCCCCACTGACTCCCCATAGTCTCAAGCATCTCACTCAACCATTCGGCATCCTCACCGCCAATATCTACCACACCTATCAAGACCTGTATCGAGCCCAGTAGCCCAAACACCCCCGAATGCTCAGGCGACAAAGAATTGCTCGTCTTCGTCGTCTCGTACAGCCCGAGAATATACGACACGCTGCCGCGAATATCGAGCATCATTGTCGCCAGAATCTTGCGCGAAGCTTCTTGTTGCGAGGCATGAGCCGCCATCAGCACGGGATGTGCCTGCTTGACAGGCAAAGCGAGGGAATCGAGATATCGTAACAGCATGGTGTGGACAAGGATTCGGCATATGCGGTATTGGTTCCAGATGAACACTTGCCAGGCGCATGCATAAACGTGATGAGAGTCTCCGTGACCCTTGTCAGGATCGGTATATCTACATGTATGCGGGAGATTTGACTCCCACGATAGCAGCTCCTCTTCCAAGCTCACAGCCCGGGAGACCATCTCGGTGATTTTCGTCACCTGGTCGGTATTCTCTAATGAATGCAGATCTGTAAACCTACATATTATGCCGAATAGTTGCCTAGCGGGTAAGAGATCCATGTCTGATATTAACGCGGGAGAAGAGCGACAAAGCTCGCGGATGTGGATAGGAACGGGTACGCGTCTAATAAGACAACTCATTGCCTATGCAGCAAAAGTAAGTTAGAACAAAGCCGTCATATATCCTTTCGTAAAGGCATCTTTACCAGCAAATAGAACAAGTGCAGAAAAGGTCGTATATCGATCGCCTTGTTCCATTCATCCTCACTCCAATGCCGTATCAACGTCGCCGCCGCCTGAGTATGGCAAACCCAAGCCTCAAGCGACGAATTATCCCGACACGCAATAATCTAATCAAAACTCATCAATATCCGATTCCTCTCACCCCACATCAAACACAAACACACATAAAGCAGAAAAAGATTGAAAGAAAACACTCACCTCAAACATAGCCATCATCACCACCGCCCCGACCGTACACTCCGTCGTCGCCTCCCCCCGCTTCTGAATAGCATCATTGATCGAATGCAGCGTCAGCCCGTACTTTGTTCTCGCCAGCGCCATCACGCCGTGGTCCCTCTCGGAATTCGCCACGCCCGCCAGCCCGACAGCCCAGATCCCCAGCATCTTCGCCGTCGGCAACCCCGTCGCACTCTGTATCGCGTAGAATTTGTTCGCGCCCGTCATGGAATAGTGGCGAAAGAAGAAGACCTGCGCAACTGACTCCGTAGGGATGGAAAAATTGAAGCGCGGAAGCGATAGCAGCTCCCCGCGCCGTCGCCGACGTGCACTTGATGATGAAGAGGCTCTGTCGGCTGCTGTGGAATCAGAGTCGCTCGGGTTGTTGGATCGCTTCTTCTGCTTCTTCTTCTTGCCATCTTGCTTCCCCTCCATGTTGACGATGCGGAGTTCCGTCTGGCTTCTATATCCCCAGCAGACCAGTCCGGCCCTCGCGCACTGCGCGCATCGCGGCTTGGATTCATTGCACTGTTCGCATTGCTTCTTAGTCTTTGCTCTGCCTCATGTATAGACTAGACATACTTTGATTCGCCGGGACCTGCAGTTGACGCAAGCTGTGCTGGTCTGTCGCGAACCCATTGCTCAACACCAGTTCACCGCTGGCAAAAGAAAAAGAAAGCTCAAAACCTATGTTAACCAACTTCACTTATACACATATAACTCAAAGGATCTAAGTCACAAAGAAAGCGCATTCAAGTTTGTCGCAATGAAGTGATAAAGTTGAATGAAATAAAAGGTCAGCAACTTCGAGGTTAGTTGAATCTCCAACTCTAGCGAATAAGCTCAAGGATAAAACAGTACTAGTCTAAGGGGGTCTCAAAGTCAGCCAGATCCCCGTGGCATAGCTTCACTACTACTGTACGGGGATCTGGTTGGTTTCGAAGCCCCCCAAGACACTCGGTGAGTCGGAGCAAACTCTCTCCCCTGCGGAATAAGCAAGCCCATCTCAGATTTATAAGCGGTGTAGACTCAAAGCTCACAAATACTGTGCCGCCAAAGCCCGGCCTTCACATCCGACACCACCGCTCTTCATACATCTCATCTTGCAACACCAAAAAAGACACATAGAATCCATTTCCCGGCATCATCTGTGAATTAATTGATTTATTGTCGTCTATGTGAAAACATAACACACCCCTCCCATTCACAACACACAAAAGTCCATTGAATTTTCAAACATTTTTGTTTTAAAAAAAAACCGCTATCTTGACCACCCTCCCAACTCTCTCGCTCTCACTCTCACTCAGTCCTATCTGACATGTTTGATTTCGAGGACGCCGCCTCAACGTCCCACCTCCTTCTCTCTTTCTTTCTCTTTTTTTAAAAGGAAAAAAAAATCACTCCAAGAGGTTGCACGACAACGCTGGCCCTAGAAGGCATCGTCACAAGACCATCTATTCTCATTCCAACTCCGGACAAGGCTAAGAATATTAAAAACAAATGCCAAGATCCACCAGGATGGAGCCAAAGAAGAAGAAAGCAACGGTCGGCGCCATCCTGTAACAAGGTGGTCGGCGTAAGTGTAAAAAATAATGGAGGAGTGGTCAGCGGCCAAAGGATAAAACTCCACTGCGCGCTGGACGAAACTACCACAAGGAGGAGGCCCAAGCAAACCGGGAGTGTGTTTTTCAAAGAGACCCAGGTCAACTTGGTAAGACATCAAGAAATTCGTAGACATCGTCCTACATCCTCATGAGCAAAAGCTCCCCCAAGGGTATCGAAATTTAAGTAAGGAAAAAAATATGATGCACGGATATCCAAAAGGAAAAAAATAAATAAAAATGGAGGTGAAAAAAACGCCGATATAAAAGCGTGTAGATCATCAGTTCCAGCCAAGGGAGTTCTCAGCCGCAACGGGAGCGGAGATGTTGGCAGTTCGAGCAGAGCTCGTTCCGCTGTTGTGGCTGTTGCGAATTCCGGTTCCACCATAGCTAGACATGTCGCGGCTCATCAGAGCACCGCCCATGAGGGCAGGGCTTCCGTTGCCAGCGTACTGCATGCCAGACGAACGCTGGCTGCCATCAAGGGAGCTGCTGCGGCGGTGAGCCTGCTTCTTACGCTTGTAACGACGAGCAATGATGAACATGGCACCACCATACAGAGCACCCAGGCCGACAGCACCGACGGCAATACCGGCGGTGGTGGCCTTTTGCTTAGAGGTCTGGCTATCGGTGCTGCTGGTGCCAAAGGCGTCGTTGTTGCTGGAGCCAGGGGCAGGACCGTTGCCACCGCTGCCGCTGCCACTGCCACTGCCATCACCGCCATCGGTAGAACCGCCGCCGGTAACTTGGCCGAAGATGTTAATCTTAGGGTTGATCAAGGCGGTCAGGTTGCGGACAATGGGGTCGGGGTTGTTGTAGATGAGAGAGTTGGCAACCGACATGTCCAGCTGAAGCTTGTCAATCAGGTTCTGGGGGTAGTTGATCTTGGCAAGAGTGGTAATGTAACCCCACTGAGTTCGGGTGTCGTAAGGAACAAGCTTGGCAACCTGGACCTTCTCCACATCGATGCCAGCAGCGTTGGCGAGAGCTTGGGGAAGGTACTTGAAGATCTGAGCGGCGGCAACGGTGTTGCCAGCAACGAACAAGTAGTTGAGAGGATACAGGAATCCAACCTGGATCGGGACAGTGCCTTCAGCAGCAGGGGTGTTGGGATCATCGGGGTAGATGATCTTGGGAACATTGGTTGGCAGCGCTGTCGAGGCAGAGGCAGTCTCGGAGGAAGTAACTGGGGTGAAGACCATTGTAGTAGGCTCAATGACAATGGTTGTTGGCAGCCAGTCGGCGGTGTTCGTCAAGGTGGCAGTAGGTCGAATGCTCGTGACGGGTTCAGCGGTTGATGTCGGGACAACAGGGCTGGTGACAACCGGTGTGGAAGATTTCGAGACAGTCACCAGTGTGGATGACGAACCGCCTGTCGCAGTAGCACCGGCACCTGATGTTGCCGGGGTTGACGATTGGGTCGCGGGAGCAGAGGTCTCTGTGTTGTTGCCCGAGACACCGGTCTCGACCGCAGAGGAAGAGGCGGTACCCGAGGCAGTGGCAGGGCCGGTGACTGAACCAGTAGCTGAGCCAGTAACTGAAGCGGTAGGCGAAGAAGTAATCGGGCCAGTTGGATCGGCGCTGGTGCTGTTGCCGACGGGGGAACCTGTCACTGAGCTGGTGGGGGCGCTTGAGGTGCCTCCCGGAGGGCCAGTAACAGTCGCAGAACCAGTAACGGGAGGCTCAGTGCTGGTGGAGTTGGCGACAGAACCGTCAGAGCTCGTAGCGGAGGTGGCCGAGTTAGTAACTGAGACCGGGATGGTGGGAATAGAGATCGAGAGCGGGATGCTGAGACTAGGAGTAGTCGAGGGCCCTGCGGAGGAGGAAGTCGTGTTGGCTCCATCCTGGGATGTCGCCGGAGCAGAGCTGGAGACAGGAGACGATGAGGTTCCAGTAGGAATCACCGGTGGCAGCGTCAAGGGCAGGGACAAGCTAGGAAGAATGCCTCCGTCCGAAGAGGTGGTCTTCTGAGCAGACGTAGTAGACCCGGTGCCAGCGGGAGATGACTGGACTGGCAGGCCAGAAGAAGTCTCGGAAGCAGGTCCCGTCGTCTCGGCAGCGGAGGTGGCAGAGGTCTTTGTTGGGTCCAGGATGGACTTGATGGGGTCCAAAAGACCACCACCAGTGGAAGACGGCTTCGCAGAGGTGGAACTGACATTGTCGATGGTGGAGTTGCCTGAAGAGCTGCTATCGGGAACACCGCTGCTGGTGGAAGAAGCAGCACTGGAAGACCCAGTTTCAGCCGGAGCGGTGGTCGAAGGGAAGCGGACGCCAGTGGGATCAATCACAATTCCAGTCTCACTAGCCTTGCTAGAGGTAGCACGGGAAGAGGACTGAGCACTGCTGTCAGAAGAGGTCGTCTGAGGAGGTGTCGTCTCGGCAGAAGTAGCGGCAGAAGAAGTCGTAGAGGACGTTTTGCCTCCAAGGGGGAGGCTGAGGCCAATGCTAAGACCCAGTCCATCGCTGCTCGAGGAGGACGATGGCGCAGCAGAAGAGCTGGTTCCGGCAGGAGCAGAGGTGGAAGAACCCTGAGAAGATGAGGAGCCAGTGCCAGCAGGAGCGGAAGTCGGAGCAGACGACGAGTCAGAAGAGGACGACTGAGAGGAAGAAGCCTGAGAAGAGGAAGCTTGGCTGGAGGTTCCTGAGGGTGCCGTGTCGGACTGAGTGCTGCTTCTGGTAGGCTTGAAAGGAGTGGGCGAGCTGCTGCTGCCGGTGCCTTCGGGAGTAGGCGTAACGATGACTGTTTTCCTCGTAACAATGGTCGTCACACTGCCCTGGATCGAAGAGGAGGTCTCGGAGGAGCTGCTCTCGGAAGAGCTGCTCGAGCTCGACGATACACTGCTCGACGAGCTGCTGGTGGAAGAGACGTCGGTTGAAGAGCTGCCGGTAGAGGTGACGTCGGTAGAAGTGCTGCTGGTGGTAGAGCTCGTGGTGGTGCGATGATGATGATGCCCAAAGCGGCCAGGAATGCCATCAAAGTCCGACGACGTCGTGGTTGAGCTAGAGGGGATGGTTGAGTTGGAACCACCCAAGTCGCGCTTGATCTTGTGGGGGTAGTAGATGCGAGGGCGATCAGCCTTTGCGGCCACCGACATGGCCAGGGTGGCCAGCAGGAACAGCGATTTGGTCTGCATGGTTGCGAATCGTTTCCCGATAGTGTTTTTTAAGTAATGAATGTATATCCCTGTGATGAAGGAGTGTGGAGTTTTGTATTTTGATGTGAATATACTGCTCCTCCAGTCAGCAATGCGTAATTGAATAGAAGAACAAAAGCTATAAAGCTGGACAGGGTGCCTTACTGTCAGAAACAGTTTTCAACGAATGTACTTGACAAGTGTCAATGAGCGTGTTGGTCTAGAAGGCCATGTTAGCAGAAATTCTCGAATCCTCTCGTACACCATTGGTTTCCCATTCGAGGTTTGCGTCGTCCCCAGGCCATTGTCGATTTCATCTTCTTTTTCAATTTTTTTCCCTCTCTTCAATCGAACAATTCCATAAATGGCATTGAAGAATACCAATTGCCGGCCGGACGACACCCTCGTATGCGTGCGCAACCACATCTCCATTGATGGCCCCTCATTTCCTCGCTCTTAATTGTCCTCGCCCAACAAAGCCCTTTGATCCAACCGCCTGGCGCATCTGATGACTACTCACATTTTATCTTCGTATACCGGTGCGTATGTGCGACGAAAAAAAAGCAATAAAGGAGCGTCTGGGTGCTGAATCAATCGTCATATAGCGTCCGTCACCGGGGAAGCGAAGCGGCGTTTTGGTCCCGCTAGAAAGTAGTCGAACGAAGGTGTACTCGTAGAGTCGCGAGAAGCTCCCGAAGCCCCAAGGTCATTCAGTCATGAAAAACCGAATCTCGACAGAGGGCGTTGACGCGCGGGCGGCGCAGTGTCGAGAGCCGAAGGGGGAACCGTCGCCGAGAGGTTGTCGAATGAGCGGGATGGCGATGGATTGGGAGGGGGGAGGATGGGAAGGGCGGGAGAGGGAGAGGGAAGAAGGAAATAAGACGCAGCCCAGCCTGTGAAGATGACCCAGAGCCAGAGGAAACGAGAGACAGTGGATGGGAGACACAAACAGAACAGGACAGGGCCCCAAGGGGGGTGTGGCATCTGGCAGGGGAAGGGAAACGAGAAAGAGGAGAGACGACAGGACAGGACAGAGATTGTGTGCTGTGCTCTAGCGCCCGTGGCAGTAGGACCGACCGTCGCGGATACCGCCTGGGCCGTAGCAGGCAGGTACTGTTTGGCAGCGGGTGCGGTGTGGAGGTACGGGGCAGCGCACGAGGAGGGTTGTAACAGGTACGAGGGGGTGCTGGGCTGACAGGGGATGTGCAGGTACCTGCAAACTGCTCCCCACAGAGTTTCAAGGCTACAGGCCGGAGAAGAAGCTGCTTGGCTTGGTCTCTGTAAGTACGGAGTACGAGTACCTGCAGCAGTTCTCGTACAGTACAGGTAGGGTATTCGTCACCTCCGGCAAGAATGAGTACAGTGCTGGACTGCTTCGCACAGGCCCCCCCGATGTCACACAACGGGCTGGGGTTGGCCCTGGGCGGCTTTGTGTGGAATGGATGGAATGGAGGGCACAAAAGCGCGAGCCAACGTCGCGATGCTTGGCCCAGTACCTCCACGATGGGCGTCCACAGGGGCGGCAGTACAGGGCGTCAACATGCGTGAACCGGCGGCAAAGCAGGTACCGTCAGCGGCAGCCGAAGGTCTCTGTCGCTCTGCAGGTACATATTCGTACATTCGCGATGGATACCAGAATCCAGGATCCAAAATGTTACTTACCAGGTTGATACTTGTACAGTTAGTTGGCCTCTCTCTGCAAGCGTAGCCGAGACTCCAGGCTTCCCAAGGATTCCCTTGTCCCAAGCGAGCGTCAAAGAAACTTTTTTTTGATTCATGCGTGCGAGCCTCCAAGAGAAAGCACTGCCACGGTTGGAAATTGCACCCGCCAAAACGGGCCTGGTACCAGCTCGTCGTCGCACCGGTGTGGACGGCCAGAATCCCGAACAATAGCGCAGTACCTGTCCGGCGTTACGAGCCTGCGGCCAAGCTCTGCGGTGCGCCCATAGCCGCCCTCCACCGGCCTTAAACACGCGTCAGGTACCGCCTCAACATGTCCCGACCACGTTCACTTCGGGCGGGCCAGGGGTAAAACCAGTGACCTTCTGATCCATTGGGCCAGGGACCCACCGGCCCACGCTACGGGTGATTTTTTTTTTAGATGCTTGGTGCGGCGGCGAAACGGCTTCGGGTACCTCACAAGTACCGCCGCACCGTTTCTGCCAACCTCGCCCTGGACACTCTTCTTCGTCCTTCTGCACCTGTCGATCAATCGCCATGCCTCAGATTGCCGTGAAGGAAAAGCTGGTCAAGCTCATTGCCGAAGGTGGCGGAGGCATGCCGTGCAACGACGCCAGAGGTTTGCGATTCAGCACCGGTGGCTTGCATTCATGTTCAGGTTGGTTGTTTACACACCACATTCAGTATACTTGTATGCACTTGTACTTACACCGACAGCCAACAACGCGCATGAGGATTCCTTGGGTGCAATTTCATTTATGTGCCCAATGGTCGACCGCGTGAGCTTCGTATTACACACTGGTTCGGTGAATTCGTATGCCACCACAAGCAAATTAAAGCACCTGTAAGCAGTAAGAGCTCACGGCATCTCAGCTAATGCATCCCGCACAGCACGGGTTGTCGCCTGATTCCACGGAAAGCTTGTGCATGTGCGGTACCTACAGAAGAGAGCTGTACCGTACAGTAACGATTACAGAAGCATGTCGAAAATGCCTCGCTCTGGCCGTGGAATCAGGCACCCGTCTGGCGGTGGAGAGAAAAGCGTTCCTGGAGCTGCCCTGCCCGTCCAAGTTTTTGTTTTGTTGCCTTGATTCCCACGAACAGGGATCCCAGCTCTCGTGGCCTTCTCGGTGATGTGCGACAAGTGACTTGCCAGATACCTGAGCACCCTGAACGAGCACCCGCGCGAACCCCTGGCGCCCGGAAGGGTTCCTGGACCAATGGCAAGGGCGCTAGGAGCCTTAGCTCGTCTCGGGGCAGGATTGGCGTCGTACCTTTAATATTAACGACCAGGGGGCCAGTGAGCAAGTACTCTAGCACTGTAGATTGCGCGGCGAGGTACTTGGTTTTCGCGGCCTTACTCCAGTCATGGCCCACGATATCCTCTTCAGCACGTACCACTTTTTCTATCCCGTTTCTTCAGTTTTTTTTTTTTTTTTGTTCTATCGTTTTCTGTTCAGGTGTTCCGTACACTCCCACCGCGGCTGCTTCAGGCTCGCCGTTGGCATTAAATCGCCTCTTTTCCTGCAAGCCATTAGCTGTCACCGGGCTTAGCGTCGACGGCTCAATAGTTCCTGGCGCTAAAGATTCCATGAGAGCAAACGAGGCTCGACGCGCGCCATCGACAATGATTCAGATGCTGCAATGGAATCCTGCTTGTGTTGCTACTGTACTTGTGGTACTCTCAAGCCTAGTGTAGGTATTTTCTACATGATGATGAGTATCCGGCATAAGCTGTTGCAGGTACTCGTTACATATTCTCCCAGGAGCGTAGATCAATTACTGCTATCAGATAGTCATTTCCAAGGAAGCGAGTTGCTAAAAGCAGATAATTCATGCAAATCAGATCGTCCGGCACCTTCCAGACCAGCGGATAATCAAAAGACATGCACAGCAAAATCAGCTCATTTAGATAGCTTCCACGGCTTATGTAACTGGCTGCTTGGTCCAATAACGGCCCCCAATTGCAGCAGTGTAACGAACGCGTTACTGTGGTTTATTACTCGTGCTTGTTTAATGAGATTGGCGCATAGTACAGTAGCCAAGCATATGCATACATTCGCTCAATATTACTTGTTATTGCATTGCTGCAGGCTCTCACACACACTCAGTCTCTCATAGGCACCAGCCAATGCGCGTGCTTTCTTCGGCTCGTCCCAGAAATGAATGTCGAATGCACGTGCGGGCCTCAGTTGGTCTCTGATCGTCAAAGCGCTCAGAAACGGCAATGGCCGTACTGTAACGTATGCAGCCCACCGCCTCCGTACGGAGCTTCAAGTTTCAATCAAATCTTTTTTTGGACCGCGGGAAAGGCGTGAGATTACGGGGCAGCGCCAAGCTGCCGCTATTGCTATTGGTACACACGCGCACCGTCAACACCGCAGACGCTCATTTCAACGGTACCTCGTACATGTAGCGGCTACACAGTTTCTAACTCAGCTGGAATGCGTGCCAACTCACTCTGTAACAAGCCCATTTTTCTTTTCCTTGGTTTCTGCTTTTTTCGAATGATGATCCATTGCGCTGAAGAATCCATAGTCTCAGACCATCGGCGGTGGTGCCCGATGTTTTTGTTTCATCGAGGCTGAAGCCTCTCCTCAAACCGAGACATGGATTGGCCTCCTTTTTTTCAGGCATGCGATGCTACTCTAGTCTGCCGTAATCGACCAATGTCGGCGTAGTGCTAGTAATACGAGGAACACGCTCCCACATGCCGGACAAGCTGTAGTAGCTCCATCCGTAACAGATAGTGCCACTCGACTTGTTCTCAAAGGGGACATTTGTTGCGCTTTGACCTCGAACTTACAAGGCTAGGGAGCTATACGCCCTTGAGCTGTCAGAGGGCGAAAGAGCCTCAGCCTTGTCAGCTCGGCATCGTCACTTGCCGTCATCCGCAATCCGAACCGTAATGCTCCGTATGTGCCGTCAAGGATTGGTACAACATCTCCATTTGTCATGTACTTGCACATATTTGGGTTTATTCTACGACACACCTTCGGTATAAGTGATAGTAGCAGTTAAAAAAGAAAGGAAAAGGGGGGCATTTAAAGACCACATATTATCAGAGGACTACTACGAAGGATACGAGCCATGCTAACGCAAATTGACCATCACCACCTAGCTTTAGGTAACGTCTTGGCAGATCCTTCATTGGTGCGCAGCGGCGCGAACCAGCAATGCATTACTACTACCGTTCAAGTGCCATGGATGCAGGGGAAGTGTCCTTGTGAGACTGGAAGCATGTTTTAACACAACTTGGGATATAAAAATAGAGAGAAGTATAGCACGGGGATTGCAAAGGTTGATTAGTTTATTTCCAGACAGTAAGTTCTTTTGCGAAGCGGTGACTAAGTCTTAGTCTAATATGTTGATGTGATCAGGAGTGAGTGGCTTGAAGACTTGATGCCTCCCTGGTGTTTCTCCCATCCGCCTTCCAGGGCTCTGAGTCGCGTCCTGGATTGACGTCATTTGTAAAATGTAACGGCCTCGTTATATGTAGAGGAATCACTGATATGTTTACTGTTTGTGTGTGTTATCTTGCATAACAAATCGCGAGATGGAATGTCAAGCAGAATGCATGCCGAGAGGAAGGCTGTGCAATACTTTGATGTCGGCAGGTTTCCGTGTATTGCTGACTACATGGCTATTGCGTTTCCCGTCCCTTTCACTATAATCATGACATAAACATCTGATATGCCCCCTTTTGAGTCCTATACGCGTGTTTGCGGCGAATGATATGGCAATTCGAGCAGTAATGACAAGTATGGCGGCCTAATTTTTTGTTTCAAGCTCTTTCAGTTTTCAGTAAGAATTAAACTACTAGGCTCGAAGTTATACGTTATCATGATGGGAACTACCTGTTGCCGAGTTCAGAGTCTATCTACCAGTCACACCAAGTTTGGTCGCCAGACACCCGCCAATCATACAATTCAGGGAATGTAGTACGTGGTAGGCAATATAGGTGTCGTCTCAGCGCGTAGTACTGTGTATGGTGATCATTCTATGTAATTCTAATTCAGTACGCTAAGTTGAATGTTTAACTCTCTCACAGCTGCATGAAGTTCAAGTGCAGTAGCAACATGGTACCGTTTGTCTGGTACTAGATACATGGCTCCTCAAATACCTGCTATTCTCGTTACCCTCCCCCAACATTGCTGCTTTCTTTTGCTTGTCTCCTACTATCTACCAAGTTGAAGATGTAAGATGTTGAATAACCATCTCCCGAGTGTATCATGCCGGTATTTACGGATGTTTTCGCCTACTAGATCCGAATTATCATGAGCATGTTCCCTTCGCCATGTCAGATGCCAACTTAGTAAGCATGGTACGAAATCATCACACTGTTTAAAAACAGTTGTGTCAATGTGACTGGTAAAGGCGCTGTATTTGTTGTATCATGACCGTTGTTTCTTGTTGAGATGGCGTAGTCATGGCGAAGTACAGCCTTAGCCAATTGCTTCACTGTCATGGGCTCTTATTGGGTATATCTATACTGTCGTAGGTGTAATTCTAGCAGCATAACGACACTAATTGGCTCAACTTAGAGGCGAAAGTCTGTGGTGTGCGTGTATAATGAAGGAGTTTTTGTATTCCCCTAGCATCTTTGCTTTATTATTGATAGTAATGCGCTAGCGAGTAAGCTATAAAGTAATATGTTTTTTATTCGGTTGCGTGACTGTCTGTAAAAGACATACGCTTTACGCCAGTATGTCTTCTTAGAAATCGTTCAAACATCCATCCAAATAAAATACACAAAAAACTCTCCCAACTCATTCCTTTGGATACACGCAGAGCATAAATTGCACCTCCAAATTCCGTTGTAGGGTAGCTCGGTGAGATATCATCTCAGCCACAGATCGATCTCAAAACGTGCCTCTCATCGTGGCGCACCAAAGACCCCACTACACCAAAAACGTGGTCCCATCAACCTCCCTTGTGGCGCCCCGACCGCGGCGTGGCGCGAGCCCATCATGCGACAATTCGAAACCGTGTCTGGATTTCCAACCCTGATCTCATGAAGCGGTAACCACTCACCAAAGGGAGCGGCCTCTCCCTGACATTCATTACACCATGGCGCGCCGCCAGCATCTCACAGCGTCCATCCTGTTGGTCGTCGTCCTGTTCTTCAGCATCTCGTATTTCCTGTCCGGCTCGTCCAGCCACGATGTGGACCGAATCCATGAGCCTGCGGGAGAGCCCAAGTCGGAATTCAAAGTGGACCTGGGTGGCATGCCAGCTAGTCTGCTTGACGGAGAGTCTATAGCCCCCAAGCTGGAGAATGCAACACTCAAGTATGTCTTTACATATATATACACAGCTGACATCTGATGCGGTTGTTCCCTTGGCATACATACAAGGATTACCCATCTTCTAACGCTTGCAACGAATAGGGCCGAGCTGGGTCATGCAACATGGAAGTTCATGCACACAATGGTCGCCAGATTCCCCGAGGAGCCCTCCAAGGAAGAGCGTAAGACCCTCGAGACGTTCATCTACCTCTTCAGCCGCCTATACCCCTGCGGTGACTGCGCGAGGCACTTCCGGGGGCTGCTGTCAAAATACCCTCCCCAGACGAGCAGTAGGAATGCGGCGGCTGGATGGCTGTGCTTTGTGCACAATCAGGTCAATGAGAGACTGAAGAAGCCGATATTTGACTGCAACAACATTGGCGACTTTTACGACTGCGGCTGCGGAGATGAGGATAAGAAGAAGGGGGACAAGGGCAAGGAGGGAGGGAAGAAGGAGGAAGTCAATGCTGGAGAACTCATTAAAGAATAGACCGGACTAATTGTAATAAAGGATATTTAGAGGTAGATGCAACGAACTCTTTATAAAGAATCTTACGTTAATTATAACCAAGTAACGATTGCTGTCCATATTACTGTTGGGGCAATGATCAAAGTATGATCTCAATGTGGCATATAAGACAACTGCAGCAACACCGTGCCGCTCCCCAGTTTCAACTAACTGTGATACATGATTATGGATTACGATTTCGGGAGAAACTACTACATTTCAAATCCTATTCTTTAATCTCATGAATGTCGGAATTGCTATTGCTTCGTGCTTGATTGCCTTGTCCTTACAGAATTCAACATCACGTGCAAAATCATGTGCCGATATGAAATGTGGGGCGACGGCGCGGCTGCGCGTTCTCAGAGCTGCCTGAGCTTTGATGTGGCGGAACTGCTGGTTGAGCTCCAGCCTTCCCAGACAACCTCAGAACCACAACGAATCAACAGCGCACGACTCTTGTTTTTGCAACGCTTACGAATTACCACTACCTCTACGATCCTACACTGCAATTTATCTGCAATCATGGAGTTTGGCCGTGCTGGTGTGCTGAATGAAGGTACGATTGCGGCACTCTGTCCGGCATTCTGCCAATGACCCCTCGCTGACTTGATGCTTGATGGGACAATTAGATGGCATTCATGTCGATATGGACAGGTTGAAGAAGGGTGAAGTCAAGTAAGTCGATGCTCTAGATACTGTCCAGATTGCTTTTACTGACTGTTGTTAGCTTGGGTACCTCCATGTATGCTCCTTGACCCCGCCGAAGCGACCCATTGAATTGATCTGACGACAGATAGTATGGCCGTGACATTCAAGGATGGAGTTATCCTGGGTACGTGGGCATCGACAGAGATGCACTGTTACGTTTACCAGTTGGGGGAAGCGCTGACCACGGGCCTACAGGAGCTGATTCGAGAACAACGACCGGTGCCTACATTGCCAACCGAGTGACAGACAAACTGACCCGAGTACACGACACCATCTGGTGCTGCCGATCCGGTTCAGCCGCCGACACACAGGCCGTTGCCGACATTGTACAGTACCAGCTGGGTCTCTTTTCCATGACCAGCGGCCGGCCTCCGATGACACAGACAGCGGCATCCATTTTCCAGGAGATTTGCTACGCCAACAAGGACATGCTATCGTTAGTAACATGCCCTTCTCCCTCGACTCGTATCTGATACGGATGCTAACGCTGTGTAGAGCTGGTCTGATTATCGCGGGCTGGGACGAGAGATTCGGTGGCCAGGTGTATTCTATTCCCCTGGGAGGTTCATTGCACAAGCAGGCGTACGCAATCGGCGGTTCAGGATCGACATACATCTACGGATACTGTGACGCCAACTGGAAGGATGGCATGGAGGAGGAAGAGGCAGTCTCCTTTGTCAAGGGAGCGCTAAGAGAGGCTATCAAATGGGATGGAAGCTCTGGCGGTGTCATTCGCATGGTGGTGTTGACCAAGAAGGGAGCCGACCGACACCTGTACCTACCGGATACAGACTACAAGGTGCGACAACAGTAGAGGATAGATGATGACGGAACAAGTTGTGACCATGGGTTATAATCCTGTGCTCTTTGCATGATAGCTTAGGTGAAGCACCCCGCATGTGTCGACATTCGACAAGCCGACTGGGACTAGGCTTAATAGAAACGAAATAAAAACGGCCAAACAAGTGCAGACTACCTTCGCAGATGTTGAATTTAGTCAAGGATGTAGGCGGCTAGGGCATGAAATGCCTCACTGGTATGCCAATGGCTGAATGAGAAGAGGATGTAATCAAACTATTGCTACTTTGCAAAATCAGGGTGTTTTGTTTTGTGCATGAGCGTGACGTTGAAAACAAAGTTACGGGAGTGGGGATGGAGGCGGCCCGAGGCAGGATGAGACAAAAGAGGACAAGGACGAGGCTCGTTGGGGATTTGACGTTGAGTGATGTGATTGCATTGCAGTATTATCGATTTGTATGGATATGACGCAAAAAGGCTAGACACGGCTGGGGAAACCGGCCCGTTGGTAGCTTTTCTCGTGGAGGAAAAAAGCTTAGACTTTCAGGCTGGCACGTTGACGTTGAAGCTTGACAAGTGACGTATGTCAGAAGAAGGCTGCTTATCCAGGCAAAGCTTCATATGATATGATAGGTATCCAATGACTCTGCTGTATGTAGGTCATACGAGCACGCTCCATCTTTGGCACCGACCGTTGGGGGGAGAAAAAGATGATGATCCGTGACTGTACGATGAAATCAGTGATCTCGATGATTGCGAGGCTCAACTCGCAGCAGCTATCAAACTACAGACGTTGAATGGCCAATTACAGAGTGGACCATGGCTGACTTTGACGGAACTGATCTGCAACCCCACTGGCCGCATCGCAAGGCCCCTTGTGCGCGAGTCACTGGCTCTAAGGAAGATGGAGGGCAGATCAGCGAGATTTAAGCATTCGGGTGACGCCTGAGCCAAGTCCTGGGAGGCGAACTTTTTTTCTCGTTACGCCTGGGTGTGCTGGAGGAGAACTGACGTATAGACCTACATACTTGTAGCTGGATGGGCGAGAGAGGGACGGCGTCATTTGGCATCAGGAGAGGGGTTCTGTATTACCTGTTTTTTTATTTTCTCCTTTTCTTTCTTCTGGATTCAGTTCAGCTCGGCATGTATCGTGTTAGTCAAGGGCCATCCATGCCTGTGCCTGGTAGTATCTGGTGCTGCACGAGAAAAAAGGGACAAGGCGAAACGGCACGATGCATGAACAACGGTATTGGAGTACAGACATCATCGAAAGGCCGCCGAAAATCGCCGTGGCGCTGGTTGCAGCTTTCCAGGTTGTTGCTGTGGCGCTTCAACTGATGTGCTTTAGCCGCACGCAGCAAGACCAAAAAAAGAAAAAAAAAAAAAAAAAAAAAAGGGACCCTGGTTTTGGACAAGCCCACGTGCGGCATGTCTTGGCTGGGAGCGCCGCGATTTTGGAGGGTCCCGGGGCTCTGGCCTATGAGATGCAGGGCAGAGAGGCACGAAGCACGTACAGGAATCGGGAGCTGGGAAAAGTGCTGAGGGCCACGTTGGACGGGGGTTGGACAGCGCTGTATTTTTGTTTTTTTGGCCTGTGATTTTTGATGAGTTTTGTTGGTGCTGGCTTTGTTCCTTTTTGCTTGATGATTTTTTCTTTGTCCTTCTTGCTGCTGGGATGGCGAGTATCTTACTGGTGTAGGCGGCAGTGACGGAACTTTACTTTGTCGTGTAAGCGAGCTGAGAGGGAATGAATGATAAGACGAAGCAAGTACATGTATTAAGCATCCAGTTGATCGAATTCCTCGTCGTTCTTCAGGTTAATTACCTTAGTGGACACCCCGTTGTTTCCCGCTCCCGTGTTTGTTTTCTGAGCCCTGACCTGACCGAGGGTGGCCCCATTTCCCTTTGTTTTAACCTTGGTTTTTCATTCCTCTACTATCCGTGTACCCGTTGCCTTTTGTTCATTCCGATACGCGCTCCCGTATACTCGGTGCCTTTGCCTGTGCTCAGCTCTGCTGAGAGACAGACTGAGATCGACCCCCAGAGATCCGAGCTTCGTTCCCATCGCCAGTTTGGCTGGACAGGCAAGCCGGCCATCTATTTGCCATCTGGTGGACGACATCTCCACCGCCAATCCCTTCTTGCCATACGTACTCGTACATATCCTCGTACATATACCCATACCTCACCTTACATATACCTAACACGGGCACATACTGGGTTGGCACGTCCGAGCAGATAGGGCCATTTCCCTGCTCCTTTGTCCTGTCCGTGTCGGTCACCCCCCCTTTTCTCTTCCCTCTCTTCTCTCCTCTTGCAGTTCTGCTCCCCCCCTCCCCTCTTTTCGGAACCCAGAAACGAGGCCAACGGCTGTCTATCCACGCCATCAGCGCTGCTTGCGAGCTTGACGAACGAGCTAGCTACCTTATCTGGACGCCCCATAGCTATACCCAGGCAGAGACGGACAAGTTGCTTCGCACGGAGCTGAGGCTGGCAAACTCGTGGTTAATCAACGGGTTTTGCCTCGCGCGGAGAAAGGCAACCAACCCTTGCTTGCGAGATCGATCCGATCGCGAGCTGAGTTGAGCCCTGCTCGTTCTGTTCTATCCTATCTTGGTTTCGCCGGCGTTCTTTTATGCTCTGCGCTGTGTCCCGATCAGTCGACGGTGATTTTTTTTTTGTTGGAGCCCAACCCCTCATACGTCGCTCTATTTTTATATACGATACCACGATAACTTGCATCTGCTATCTCTTATACACACCCACACGCATACACACACATTGTATCATTGATATCAAATAGCGAGCTTTCCCTTGAACTTGCCATCTAACCCCCCCTCATCCACATAGACTTGTGAGTATCTTTTCTTTCTATTCTATTCTTCCTGTTTCCCCTAATTCCATTGTCCTCTTCTTTTCTCTTTTACTCTCTGCCCGCCCTGCTTCTGCCCCTCCTTCTTCTCGCGCATTGCATGCCCATGCCCCCGCTTTCATGAACCATTCAATCCATTGCATGGGGATTTTCCCGAGCTCAGGCACATGCTAGCAGTTTAAAGCCTCCCTGCCTTGCTTGCTCGCATCTGCTGCCATGCCCATACCTGCCTATCTCCGCCTAGCACGCACAGTTGAGAGCTCCATTGCCGTTCATGGCATTTGCCACCCACTGTGAGTGACGCTGAGCGGCGGCGCCACAGATGCGATGGGCCACGACGCCACCGAAGACCGGGCGAGTGCCATCGGGGTCGCCTTGAGGTTAATGGGAGATGCCGGCTGGAAGGGGCTGCTCTGCGTGTCGATTCATGAGTTGTTTCTGGGGCCCGAAAGCATCAAATCAGATCATCACGGGCGGACGGAGAGCGATGTCGGGGGTTGTCGATCCTGTCTGCTGTTGCTGTTGATGATGTTGATGGCTTGAGAGAGACCCATGGATGGATTGATACGGACTGTTCAGAAGATGAACAAGACAAAGCAAACAACAGCCTTATCAGCACATGAAAAACCCCTTGATGACAAGCGTCATCTCGTCCGTTGCCCTGTCTGTTTCCCCTCCATCTCTTCCGCCGTCTCCGGCTTTTTGTCGCGACCTCTGTCTGTCTGTCTGGCACTTCGTTCTGCCTGCTGAGTCGTCGACAATTGCATGTGGTCGAACGATTCTCCTCACTGGCTGCTGAACAATCCCCACTGCCGATACCACTGTGGTCCCTAACCCGCTCCCTGCAGCGCGCCTCTTCACTGCCCGCCGCCGCTAAAGCAGTGGTTCGCCTGCCGTGCAGCTCCCTAAACCTCCATCTCCCCTCCCTAGTGTCTACAACTCAACTTGCCTTTTTTTTCTCTCTCTTCATCTTCCTCTCCTCCTCTTCTCAACCTCAACTGCGCTTGTCGCAGCTGTATTTGTTCGAATCCTTCCTTAACGACTGCCCACGTCTCCTTTTTGCTAATTTTTAATGATTTGCCCTGCGCTTCTAGTTGGTCGCCCTTTTTAATATTCTTTTCCTTGTGCCTCTCTTTCCCACCTCTGCCGGTCGCAGCCGCATCTCCGTTTCCCCCAAAACCAAAACTCCTCCGTTCATCCATCTCCATCCTCAACTTCAAGCGCGCGCGCTCTCCCCCCCCGCCATACGACGCAATGGCAGCCGTCATCGGCGACTTTGTTCCTGACCTCTCGCGCTTCCACAGCATGATCTCCAGCTCTTCGACATCGACAACCTCCATTCCACAGCGCTCCGATAGCCAGGCCCACGACTCGGCTGCCCCCTACCGTTCGTCCAGCCGGCACCGATTGTCTGGCTCCGTGCCGCGGTCTCAGACACCAGCGTCAGACACCTCCAGCAGAGGAGCCAGATCGGCGCAGCAGGGCCAGGCGCTGGCAGGACAGTCCGCATCGCGTGCGGCATCAGGCGGAGCGTCGCGTTTCCCCTCGCCGCCGCCGTCGTCGTCCCCAGCAGCTGCCCCCGGCCCTGTCGCCGCCGACGATGCGAATCGTCCGTCCATGGCAACACAGATGGGAGACAGCGTCTCCGCACCGGCCCTGCACTCGCAGCCGTCATCCTCTAGCATAGCCGCGCCTCAGGACCAGCAGCCCTCTCCCACCTCGGACGACTATCCGCTGCGATCTGGCCCGCCCGACTCGTACCTGGTTTCCAACGCCGAGGCCGCGGCCGCCCCCGAGCAGAATGTCATCCACATCCGGGACCTTGCTCACATAGAACAGCTCGCCCAGGCCGACCTGGCGGGCGCCGCCGACCGGTCAGGCATCCTCCACGACCCGCCGCTGCACCAGACCAAGTACGAGATCAGCGCGATGCCCATTGCAGACGTCATCGAAATGGTGGCCGCCCTGCTGACCAAAATCACAACCACAAACGACCTGCAGCACGACGCCATGCAGCGCAATGTTGCCCACCAGCAGCAGGCCAACCAGACCGCGGACCCCCATGGGAACTCCCAGATGAGCCCGATCAGCCACTCGGTGCTTGCGTTCCACGGAAAGAACGTTCCGGCTATAACGATCCTGAGCTACCTCTCGCGAATCGACAAGTACTGCCCGACCACCTACGAGGTCTTCTTGAGTTTGCTGGTCTACTTTGATCGCATGACTGAGAGGGTCAACGACATGGTTTCTCGCACCGAGCGCAGCAGGCGATCGTCTACGTCGCGGACGCGAGGGTCAGCCTCAGTCGCATCTCACGACACCCCGATGGGCGAGGCCTCTAGGAGTCCCGACGAGAGCGACGAGGATCTAGCTGACGACGACGATAGCGACGACGAGGTCATGGTGGATCCCCCGACCAGATTCGCTCGGGAGGCGGCCAGAAGCGCCGCGACGCACGTACCCGAGCGCTCCCTCGGCCTGCCGACCCCGGCAACGTATTTTGTGGTGGACAGCTTCAACATCCACCGATTGATCATCGCCGGAGTAACTTGCTCCAGCAAGTTCTTCTCAGATGTCTTTTACACCAACTCGCGATACGCAAAGGTAAGAGCCAGAGATTTCTGCAAGATTGTATGGTGATGAGGTATTAATCTTTGGGTGATAGGTTGGTGGACTTCCTTTGCCCGAACTGAACCACCTGGAACTCCAATTCCTAGTGCTCAACGACTTCCGACTTGCCATTCCGGTGGAAGAGCTGGAGGCATATGCCACCATGCTAGTCGAGTTTTACGCCCGAGAGGTGGTGGCTCCTCGGAGTCGTCGCACGTAAACCCTAGGGAACCACAGCGAAATCCGTGGTGTCCAGATAGGAACCAAGTTGAAGAACCAGGAACACGACGCAACGACAATTCATCTTTGTGACGGGCTCGGTGACATGGGCATAACCGTCACTGGATCTCAGTCGGCGCTACGATGCTTCAAATTGAGTGCAGCAGCAAAGTATCGTGGAAAGCGTGCGCGCATTGGAAATACTTTTTTCTTATCAAAGAGTGGCTGTGGCCAACCTGACCACGCAAGGCCAAAACAGCCTTGCGATCCCTGGAGGATGTTACATGGCGGCCGTCAGAACGATGAGAAAGGCCTCTTGGAGGCAAAATCAACACCACTCTGTCTTTCTTTTCTTTTTCTTTTCTTGATCTAAAAGACACAAAATTTGGGTCATTATACCAGCGAACTTGAAGAGAGTAGGTGAGCACGCCGAGGATGTCTTGAGCCGTACAGCAAGACTACATGGACGAGACGTTTTCTTAAATGAGGGCGAGAAAGAGGGGGAGCCGTGTGTGTGTGTGTGTATGACATGTTAGCAAACGACTTTTTGGTTAGACCTGGGAGAAAGGCTGCATAGGCAGGCATGACATGGCAAGGAGGACAGAGGGGGAGCTCTGATGGGATTGGCGAATTCATTGCAACGGCGCTGGGGTTTGTTAGGCCTTGGGATATTCTTTTTATTAACCTTTTTTATTTTTCTGTTCTTGTTCGTTTTGAAGGAATGGAGGGCGGATGATGATGTTAAGAAGATTGCGTGGCGATGGGATTTTTTTGGCATGCTAGATAGGTAGATTTTATGACGCACAATACGATACATTACGCTCTATCTGTCCTTTTAATACCACGAAAAAGCAATGTTGGGGATTACGGACGGGTTAAGATGGCAATAGTGAGATTTTGATTGACAGAGATTTTGCAATCTGAAACCGTATATGACGCGTACCAGGCCGTGTAACAATAAAAAACTCTATCTAGGTATATATATAGTATTAAGGAAATTCGGTTCAATCGACTCATCGCTATAATGGGAGCACAAAAAAAAAACATGTAAATGATTAGGAAATTAAACAAAAAAGAGAGAGTTTCCGAGCAAAGGGAGATGAGGGGTTTATACAGAATAAAAGAACATTGAAAGCAAGAAGCTAAAAGAAAGTAGAAAAGCAAGAAGCAGAAAGACCGTCTTTTTTCGTTGCCGCGAATATCAGAACACCACTCTTTCTTATATCGAAAACGCCTCTTTTGCTCGATTAGGAAAAAAGATTGATTAGGGAGTGTGGGTTTGTTGTGTGAAAATGATAACTGGTAAAAGAGAGGATTGTTGTATGTCGTGTTGTATGTATGTGAATGTGTGTATATGTTAGGTCCATGGATTCTTGGTGATTCAAAAGCCCCGATCGATATATTAGAAAAGAAAATGAGTAGCCCCGGTTTGCCGTGTTGCCGTTTCTTTGGATTTCCCTGTTAATGCGCCGTCGTGTATATTTTGATCGTGGAAAAGACTGTTTCCCCCCTACCCCTTAAACCAACCGAATCTTTTTTTGTTCCCCCCCTGAGTGACAGTAGTAAGAGGTTTTTTTGCTTTGGTTTTTGTTTTCTAGTTGAAATAGTCGTTTAAGAAGTTGCCGGAACCCCATTGCCTCGGAGTTGATGCCGCTGCCTCTATATTTACTTGCTGCGGCGTCAAGGTATTCTCGTCCATCGCCCTTGGTGTCGTAGCCTCGCCAATCACATCGCCCCTTTCCCACGTCTCCTCCGGAATCTCAAACGTCAAATCAGCGTCCTTCATCTTCAACCCAACCTGCCACCTCCCCAACCAAGGCAAAAAGTTCTTATGCCCACCACAAGCCTCCCCGCCATCGGGCTGTTCCACGTCATACCAGCCGACGGAGCTGCTGGCGCAGTACTGCTTGGTGACGAGGCTGATCCAGCGGGAAGTGGCGGGGAGCTCGCCGTAGGAGCCGTTGCCCGCGGGCAGGGGCGGCATGACGAGGGTGGTGTTGAAGCCGAGGTGGTCGACCCAGCTGGTGGCGAAGGGGAAGCGCGGGAGGAGGGACATTGGCTTGAAGGTGGTGGCGAAGAAGGGCCGGGGCGAGGGCTGGGACTCGTCGAGGTTGGAGGGGTCGTCGTGGGGGAAGATTTGGATGGTGGTGGAGCCGTCGGGGTGGTGGTCCCAGACGAATTTGGCGAGGTGCTTGGGAGTGTTCCAGTCTGAGAGATGAGTATTAGTTTTTGTATAAGTTGAGTGAAGAATGAGAAACTTGAAGAGAGTGAAGGACAACGAAAAGGGGGGCAAGAGGGCAAGGGGGGGGCTGATGATATTCCCCTGATGCCATCACAAAACGGTATAACAACGACAAACTAAATCAAAAACTTACTCGTCCTTCCATTGAAGCAACTGTTTGGCGTTGATACATAGATCCTCGTAATCTTGGGGTTGCAGCCCCTCTTCTTCTCGCCTCCAGGCTCCGTCCTCTCCCACTCAAAGCTGCCCGGTGCCACTAGCATCTCGTCGTATGGCCCCACGGGTGAGTCCGTGTAGCTCAAGATCTGGATCATGCTCAGGCCACCAAGTGGCCTGCTCATCGTCTCGTCGGCAAACGACGTCTTTCCCTCAAGCGGTGAGTAGGCGTGTTCGGGCAGAGAGCTAGCAGCCGAAGGAGGAGTCCAGAAGGAAAAGGTGTAAATGTCGCCTTTGAGGGCCCATTTCGGCGGGATGTGCTTGATTGGGCCCCCCATTGATTCAGGGGGCACCTTCACATCTGTGGTTTCTGTCACATCTGTGGTTTCTGAAGGGGGCGACTGAGATGAAGGCTGCTGGGTTTTGCTGGGGAAATCTGGGAGTAGCAGAGGGAAAGAGGCCGTATGCAGAGCATCGTTGACGCTGACTTGCGTTGTGGGCGTTGACGGTATGCTTGCTTCGGTTGATGCAGCCGAGGCATCTTCCCAGGGCGACGCTGACACCGGTGACAGGGGTGAGCACGGCTGGTCGTTGCCGTCGTCTTCTTGCGGCTTCATGGTGGTATCGACAACGTAGAGTTGAGGAAGCTTTGATCTGGCGTTGGGATAGGGCGATGAACGCAGAGGAGGAGTTTGTGGAGAGTCGTTATGAGACATGATTGATAATTGGCGAAGAGAGGATGAGTTTTGAGAGCTACGTCCAAGGAAGAGAGGTATCGATCGTGATGGAGAGATAGAGAGAGGGAGAAAGGGTCAGTTAAGAGCCTGACTTGCAGGCGTGGGAATGATGCCGTGGCCCAGCTACAAGCAGGAGAGAGAACTATGAAACGGAATTGTGATAAAGCGTCCAATGTGACGACGATGATGAAGATGGTGGGATTGGAAAACAAAGAAGAAAAAAAAAAAAAAAGGGAAAATTCCAGACTAAAGAACGAGAGCGAGAGAGAAGACGGCAGAGAAGTCTCTTGGACTACTGCATAGGCGAGGCGGTGGTGTGTGAGTCGGCTGAGAATGAGCCAAGGGGGGTGGGTATGCCAGCCGTTAAAGATCTAACAAAGAGACAGAGACGGAGTTGCAGGAATTCCGGTTGCGCTACCCAGTCTCTATCATTAACAAGCAGGACGCCAGCTAGTGCAAAAGGGCCTCGGGAGCCAAGTGGAGGCTGTGGACGCCCGGCCTCGATCTCGGCGCGGCAATAGGGCTTGATGTCCGAGTGTCCTTTTCAGCTGGTTTGTGCTTGAGGATCTGGAATGCTTGTTGCGGAGCTCATGTATGCGCGCACCGGGATTGATGCGTATATACGGAAGTATACGCGAGTATGTATATGCGTGCTCAATGTGATGATGGTTGATATATATCAAGCAAGACGAGGAGTCATGAAGAAGAAGAAGATGATGATGAAGGAGGAGGACGATGATGAAAGAAATGCAAATGGTCGAAATAAGGTGTAGCCGAGGTGGATTAAGGAACGGGTACAATTAACAAGGACAAAAAAAGAACCAAGGCTAAAAAGAGAATGACTGCAGATGCAGCAGAAAAAAAAAAGAGCCAGGAAAATAGTGCCAGACGCAAGCAAGTGAGACGATGCTCTGCGTTGCTTGGTCTCAGGTCTTAGTCTCTTCTTCGCCGCGGTATGCGGGCTTGGTTAATTGGGGGTCCGGGTCCCCAGAAAGAGACAAGATCACGACGGCCGGACGCAAAAAAGGGCCTGTCCCCAGCTTTTGCTCCCCCCTCGGGTCGAAGAGAGAGAGAATATTGGTTCAGGATTGGTCCAGAACCGGCAGCTTGGCAGAGCTTGTGCGAAGCCTGCATGGGATTGGGAAGAGACCAACACCAACCACCAAGTAATGCAATGCAGCTTCTCCGCACTGCTGGGTTCAAGGGAGTTCTGCAAACTCTCGTGCTGTTTTGTATGTATGCACAATACAGTATGGATTTTCTGGGGGCTTGACGCACAGAAAGCAGCGAGTTACTGTATGTAAGGAAAGGGAGTGTGTGTGTGTGTGTATGCGTGAGTGAGGGGGTGAGAGATGGGGGAGGGATTGGCTGCAGAAAAGCTGACCGAAGCGTGTCAGAATGGGGGAGAGAAGAAAGAAGGAGGAGGAGATTGGGCAGAGAACGGGAGTGTCCCAGCACAAAGTTTAGGCTGGCTTGGCGATCGAGCAGCGGGATGGATGGGATGGGATGGGATGGGATGGAAGATGGATATGGAAGATGGAATTGGATAGGATATACAGGTACTGTACCTACTAATACTAGCAGGCCTGGGTCCGGGTCCGGGTCCGTCTGGGCCAAGGAGCTTGTACTCGCATGTACATACACGGACACTTGTATGGATATGGATATGGGTTATGGGTTATGGAGATAAAGATGGATAGAGGTATGGATGTTGATATGGATTGATAATGGATGCACGTACGAGTACTGTAGGGAGAATTGAGTGAAGATGGAGATGGTATTGGAATGGGATTTGGATGATGGTTTGTTAGGGACTCTTTTGCGTGTAAGTTGGTTGTTGGTTGTTGGTGGTACAGTGTCTGTGTCTGTATGCACGTACTTGGCGGTACAGCCGCGAGGCAAGACAAGACAGAGGCCCAGACAGACCAGACCAGACAAGACAAGACACCGAAAAAAGCACAGCGAGAGAATGAGCGAGGCAAGAAAAGATGGTTGCGTGACGGGGCAGGCCAAAGCAAAGCCGTAAATCCTTGTCCTTGTCTTTTGTCTGAGTGATCCCGGTCTGGATACATGCTACATCGCTACAGTCAAGGTACAGGTACAAGGGCCGTAGGGGTCCGGTTCTGTCCTGGGTCCCGGGTTTTGCAGCTGTTCCTGTACCGGTACTCGTACCTGCCTCTAGATGGTACTGGAGAGCTACTAGGCGGTACAATTTAAGATGACATACATGCGTGGGCGAGACGTATCGAGGAGTTGCGGCAAGGTAGACCGACGCGGGTGCGGATCCGACACTACATCTATCTACTGCAAAGGGAAGCTGTAATTAAAAGTACCGGTAAGGGCTGAGACGGAGTTTATGCACCCATCAAACTAGGGGGCTACTTCAATGCTCTAGTTGAGCAGGATACCGGTACTCGCATAGAGGGTCTGCATCAGTATCCTATGAGTACTGAGACGTACACAGACACGTTCATCTTGCTTTGATACAGGTCAGCACGTGGGAATGCATGCACTCGGACGCGTGCATTTGTGACTAATACGCCACGATACCTTTTGTCTCTTTTTCATCTCGTCTTGCACTTTGTAGACCCAAAAGTATTCGCGACAGCCGGGCGTGGAGTATCCCGATTCAGCATCACCGCTTCGGGAGTCTCTGGACCCCCGTATCCCGTACAAGTCATTATACAAAAAGGGAACCACGCTTCTCTTTTGTCTCTCTCCCTTGGCCGGGCAGAGCAAGGGAGACAAAAGAGAAGCACGAGTAAAACGAAGCAACGGAACGGACACTTTTTTTCGAACGAGCCCAAAAAGCCCACTAATAACGGCGCCTCCAAGCCGGTCTTGTGTCTAGGGCCGGGCCAAGATGCGCAAAACAGGGTAGAAACTCGAGCCCCAAATCTCAGAGGCGTCGCACGGACGGACGGGCTGGTTATTTTTTTCTTGCTAGGCTTGACAGGGAACTAAAAAAAAAACCATGAGAGACGACGCGAGGCGAGATGGTGTCCATCGGGGCTGAAGCCCAAAGAAAGAGGCGCGATTTCGCTAGCTAGGCCCCGGCTTTGGCGCAAGTGTACGAGATGTACGAGTGTAAGTGATGGACCGGTGCAGCAGGCATTGGAATAACTAATCCTGCGGAAGCTACTATCAAATCCGGGTAACGGTAACCTGTCAATAGACTGAGAGGAGCACATGGCAATAGACTCGTTTTGTCGGTTAGCTCCAAGAAGGGCCGGTTGACAGGCTGCAGTAGCTGATAGAAAGCATCTGTCTTGGCTGGTGTCTTGGTGTCTTGGGACGACATCTTGGAAGCACACTAGCTAATTCTTACATGAGCGTACGTGTGCGTGCAAGCATTGATTTCTTGGACCTCGCTTGGCGCTCTCAGCAATTCAATGGTCAAACTTCCTTGCAGCATCTCAGCCACGGAACATGCTCCGGAGGCCACACTAGCAGAGGCCAGGGGTCCCGTCCTGCTGGCCAGATGACCACATCTCAATTGGCACTACGAGCGATGGATGATGGCTTGGCTCTAGCTGGACTAAGACAACGTGATAGAAACTCCCCAAGCCTGCCAAGCTAGACAAAAGATAATCTATCGTGCAGTAACCTCCGCGTGGCAACATCACATCAAAACATCGCGCCCTTTTTGCTGTATCCGCCGTATGTAACACAAAGTGGCCAATTCGAAGGGTCCAAAGGAGAAACAATGAACCTAAAATCACAATACCCACAAGCATATGGGTACGGGTCGCCGTCTAATATCAACCCAGCTCCGTACTTCCCTAGGTCCGCCGGCGACTAAAGAGAAAATAGCAGAGTGATCTACCTACCACTAATACGCTTCCACTCGACTTCGTAAAGGAACAAATAACTAATCTAGTTTCCTATCAGACGCCCCCCTGTCATTCGTCTTTCTCTCTTCTACTGTATTCTTGCTTCACATGTCTCCGGGGTTAGGTATTATTACAAAGCAACGCAGCAGAAGCCCAAAACAGCTGAAAAAGAAGGCGACAAATCCCAAAGTCCATGGACTTTCCATCACCATCAATGTTTCCGCCTTTGTTGCCCCCCCCCCCCCCCCCNCGGAGAGTTGCATTTCCCTCGCGTTGCCGTTTGGGAAGACGCCCCTCTCTTCCCTCCATCTACTTTTGGCATACAGTACGGAGACACCTTTTTCTCTGGATTTTCTTTTGTTCTGTCGGGAATTCACGCCCCCTCCCCTGACGTCGTGTCGTTTTTTTCTTTTGTTCCTCTGTGACTCTTATTCGAGTCGTGTTTTCCGTTTTGGCTCTTTATTTTCCCGTCCCGGTGGAGAGAACCAATGGGGGAGTGGAGCAATTCTCTGCTTCTTTTTTTTCCCTTTCTTTTTTTTCCACCCTCGGTAAACGGTACATCTTCCGCTACTGGACTGGACTTGTGGTTTCTTCCCGTCAGAATAGGTTCGCTCGCGTTTCATCTCCGCTGCAGGTCAGCACCTAAAAAGACAACCTGAATACACGCACACACACGAGAGAGAAGCTAGCCCGGGACCTCGGCACGACTTTCAAGGGCGGCACTCCGACCCTACAGTTACGGCATACGAGTAGTAGTAGTAGTAAGAAAAAGAGCCTTTTTTATGGAGGCCATTGCTATTTTATCGTACTCCGTAGTTTATTTTTTTTTTCTTCTCTTCTGCCGGCGCTGTCGTTTCATAAGGCTAGACTGTTTTCTGCTATTTGCGCAAGGGGGCGTGGAACAGACGGAGAAAATAAAAAAAAAGGAGGTAAAAGACACACACAAAGACAGCATTGAGGTTAACCGCGATTAGCTCGCCAGCTGAAAAGTCCGCAGAGTTTAAACAACCCCCAGAACAAAAAAACATACAGTAAGAAAATACGGAGTAAAAAGGATTGGAACTCGCCGAGGTTGCTTATTCCTGCTTAGCTTTTTTTTTTTTTTCTCTCCTGCAGCCCAACCCGGTTTGCAGTGCAGTGTTGCATCCGCCGGCCACATGTCTGATATGTATGTGCATTATGTACATGTACGGATACAGAGCGTTCCGTATATGGAACTTGGACAAGCATTTCCTTTCTCTTTTGCGTTGCAGAAAAGAACCAAGGGGGGGAGGTGGAGGGTGGACGGGGGAGGGCGGGCATAAAAAAAACGGGGTGGGAATGGGTTTGCCGCCATGATACGCCAACAATGATACGCCAACACGCGACTGTTCCTGATTTTTTCTCCGTTCTGGAAGGGAAGGGGGGGAAAAAAAAGGGCCAGCGAAGCATACGGATGCTGCATGGAGGGGGTGCGGCTTGTTTGTTGCGTTTTGCTTTTGCCCAGCCTTTTTGACGTGCGGAGTCTCGGATCATCTTGTTTGACAAGTTTGCCTGCTTACACGGTTGGTCATGGACGAACTTTGGTTTTGAGTCTCCAGCAGGCCGGTAAGATGCAATGAAACCGCCGACGGCCAACAGCAAATCTGCGATGATCAAACCCCCCTCCTCTCTTCTCGAAGCAGAACCAACAGCAGAAAAAAAGAGGCTCGGACCGGGCCCCCTTTCGGTATCCCCGGCCAGAAAACCTCTTTTGTTCACTCCATTCCCACACCCCCCTTCGCTGCAACTCTGCGACTCTAATACGCAACACAACCAACAGCATCTTTGAGTGCTTTTTGTTCCTTCGCTCTTTGGGACTCTTGTTTTTAATCTACTCGTATCTTGCCAACCCAACCGCAAACACCCCCCAGTGCCGGATCCCGAGGAGCTGGTCCCGATCCCTCCGTTCCCAGCTCTTATTTTAGTTTGGAAGTGCTTTTTCGTAACTAACTCCCTGGTCGTGCTGGTTGCTGCTCTGCTCTACCAAGACGTCTCAGCTCACTCACACACACAAGCTTTCAAGCTCCTTCCTCTCTCTGTGTAGATGCTCAGCGTCCGAGCGTACAAGGGAATGTATGTTCGATCACGACCCTGTTAAAACGGATTCCGTTCCCTGTAAGCACCCCCGGCGGCGCCGATTCTTCGGCATCAGAGCTTCTTCTTTCTGCTCTCCAGGCTTCCTTTTAAACAAGCTTCCATTTTTCGTATCGCAAATGGGTGTTTAATCTCATCGGTTGGTTTGTTTCCACCCGTACTGTAGATATCCTCATGTCCACCATACCGAGCGGGCAGATTCCGAAGGGCGTTTTTTTTTCCCTTTTCCCTCTCCACAGTCGCGTTGCAATGTAACAAGTCGAGTCCCTTACCTCCATACCTAGGTACCTTCTCATGCCGCCGTCGCGATCTCGCAAGTGTCGGTGTACTCGTTACTTTCGCTGTGCTCCGTTCCCGTACAGTAAACTGCACCTTGTCATCAAATTCGCCCATCCATCAAAACCAACTGCATAATAGCTTCTGACATAATGGGAGGAGGGCTGACGAGATATCCGGAAAGCCCGCAATGTATGCATCAGCTCGGGATATTTTCCGTTCTTCTTCATCGCATCATCGTCGCCTCATACAGTAATCAATCATACATTGAACTCTCGCATTCGCATTTCGCACTCTGTCGGAGCTCCGGATTTCCAATTCCGCCCCTAATCGTGATCGGAGCATTTCCATCTTTTTGTCGCTCTCTCTCGCAGTCTATTTTCCCTTTTTTCTTTTGCTCGCTGCCGAACACCAGGAATCCATCGCGCATATATGGCCGAAATATACGCATACCCATGTACTTGAACTTGGTGAACACACAACAACACTCGATTGGACCCTCCCCCCTCAAAAGGCCCGCGGACCCTCCATCAGCCTCACTTGGGAACCTTGTCCGTGGGAATAAAGAACCTGGCCCCCGAAGACGTTGCAGCAGCCACACCCTTCCACCGCGCTGGAATTCCGTACAAGACACGTCAAAGAATCTAGTGCGGCCCCCCAGCCCATAACCGTTTCTCCCTCGCCAGACGACCCAACAGCCCAGGCAAATCATGAGCTTCCGTCGGGTTGGACTAGCAGCATCAATGCATATATAGCACCGTGAAACCACATGTATGGCTGCATGTAACACGCTGTGTTTCCCAAGACAGCCCAATGCATTGATCTGTTTCCCCCCTCCTCCAGCCACCTGCACGTTTTGCTGTAAAAAGCACACATTCCACGCAGAAAACGCTAGACATACAGCATGGCTTCCAGACTCTCCAATCATCCGCCCCCTTCTATCCGGACGAGCTCCCAACATGCATAACTTCCAAGACAAAAGATCCCCAAAAATACCCCCTCTAGAACATACGACTCTGCATGCTCTGCGTCATTTCCCAATTATCCGCATTCCATGGCGTTCCCAACCTCGGTAGCCCATCAACGCACGTGTCTCCCGCCGGCTGATTCACATGGCCCTTCTGTACAACATGAGGCTGCAGTGCGCATTCACATGGCCCTTCTGTACAACATGAGAGCTGCAGAGCGCATTCCATTAGCTTCGTGCTCCCTCGTCATCGTCCTTTGGACCCTTAGACTTTGCCAAGTGACTTCCCCAGGCATTGTCCTTGTCTGGTACACCATCAATTCATCTCGGTCATCGTCCTTCGCGTTCATCGACCCGCTTCCTCTTCATCGGGACCCTCCTGATCAGCACCCCGCAAACCCTTGCTCGGCAGATCACTTCGCCACCATCGCAGGTTCCTTCACGCGGTGACACATGCATATTTTTCCAGTGACTTGCCACTGCAAGTCTCATTGATCTCGACATGATTCAATGAAAGCCGAGGTGGCGAGTGAGAGTGCCGGCCATGTGCCAAGTATCCACCCCGTAAGCCTAGAAGCATTATCTGTATCACAGTATCATGGACACGGCATCGAGTATCAAATGTTTTTGGTAACTAAATCATCAAGGTTAATGAACTCACAAGACATTACGTACATTACTTTGTGGTAAACCACCGCCATGCAAATACCGTCGTTAATAGACTCCCAAAATCACCTGCGACATTACCCCCCTGACCTGAGATACTCGAACAAGTAAAAGCGCCTACATCCTTTGGTTATTCCCATATTGTCAACCTCAAAGTTGGCTGATCCCATTGCGGGAATTCGGCCTCGCTCCCAGGCAACCTCACCCTACTGCTGCTGATGCCAATATAGAGCCCCATCACCTGCTCTGGGTCGACCTCCTTGTTATCAATGCTAGCAATACGAAAGTGTAGAGTCTTTTGAAGAAACGGCACCACCGAGCTTGGTTCAGTATCTTGTAGTGCTCCTAGGTCAACAAGCCTCATCAATGCCACGGTCAACGGCACTGTCCCGGAAATTTTGGAATGAGAGCCGCTCATTCCGCTCATGGTGAAGATTCCAACTGATCCTATGAGATTTGGAGCAACCCCCCAAGTGCCAACATCGTCTGGTGGCTGACCGGCAAAGACGTAAATGCTGAATGACCCGTCTAAAGCTCCGTGGTTCACATACACATTCGCGATCCACTCTGTATAATGGTCATCTGCTGCATTATTCTTCGCGTCTGCTTTAAGGCTGGGCTGAAATCCTTTGACACCTGGACTGCCCTTCCATAAACCGCTTGGCCGTCGGTGTTGTGCCTGGCTCTTGACTCGAATCATGGCTGGGCTGTTCATCCCAAGCCATTTGTTGATCTTTCTGATCAACTTGTTTCGTGGGTTCTCGCCGTCTCCGGGCAGAGCTGATGTGTCTCCATATGAGTAGCCAAACACTTCAGTGGTCCTTGACATGTCAGAATCCCAGAACGTGCCGTCGGCAGAAGACATGAAGGGGGTAAGGGGCGTGCTGGAGTTTTGCATGGTTCCTTTCAACGCAGTGTATGTAGCCTCTCCTGATACCTGGGGTGTTATCCATGCCGTGGGGTTGAGAAGTTGCCACATCGATATCAACCTGTCTGTCATGGCGTGATGTAAGAAGAAGAGCGGATCAAAAGAAGACAGCGGAACATAGGTCATATGGCCTCTAGAGCCTCCATATATGTGAATAATGTCGTGAACGGCCTCGATGGAGTCCAGATGGCTGAGATTCTGGGAGATGGCGTAGTTCTTGTTGCTAAACGAATCGAACTCGTGATAGCTAGAAAAGAGTATGTATAAACGCTGCTGTATCTCGGGTAACTTGGCGAGTAAAGCTGAGTTCACCTGGTCGTTCATCGATGGAGGCTCTAGCTCACTGATGTCGGTGTTTGGAGCTCGCTTTGTCTCATTCCAACTTCTCAGCTATGAATTGTTAGTAGCTGGTGAGTTTCACGTCGCCATTCATTCACACGCACCGGGGGCCAGATGAGTGCCTCTGCATCCAACGGATGAAATGAGTACGAGTACAAAGGGTTACGAATGACTTGGACACCATTGGGGCCGTATTGAGCCATTGTAGAATTCCAAAAGACATCTGGAAAGTGGCTTTGGCCAAGTGGTGCAGGCGATGCCCAATCCCAGTATGGTATTCGAAAATCCGACGCAGCTTGCATATATAGCAGGCGTTCAGTGACATTGCTAAACATGCGAGAAATAGCATCGGCAAGCTTGAAAAGCTCTTGCTGTAGATAAGATTTAGTACTTCGTCTCAACAATGATTTACGAGCTGTCC